TTTCATTTTGATCTCAAATACTCGCCTGTGAAGTTTCATGTCTGTATCGTGCTTACAGATTCTGTCCACAGATGACACACACACACACACACACACACACACACACACACACAGACTCACAAGGTGAAAATAATATACATTGACTTATATTAAACTACAAGTTGGGCTTCACCAGAGAACAGCGCCTCGTCGAGGCTGTATGCTGCACAGTTTCCCAATTTGCTCAAAATAAAAACTGTTATTGAATTTGGCCACTGCTGGGAGACTAAACTAAACTTAACAGCATTCGTCAGGACTCCCCCCCCCCACTCATTAATATTGACAGGTCAGAGGCACGCGGCAGCTAAAAAGATAGTTTAGTTAATATGAAAATCTTCACCGCTCCACAGACATTCTGGTTCAGATTGTGTGCATTTGATTAGTTTCATCACCCTCAGAAAAGGGGTGAATCCATTCTCTTAATGTTGTGGAAAATGTACCATGACAGTGTAATTATTTTGAGGGGACCAATTTGCATTTCCAGTGCTCCGCTAAGTAAATGTTACTGTAGGTTCTAAGGCCTTAAAGATAAATTACTAATCTGGAGTATTTAAAACCCATGAAACATTTAAATTAAGTAATTTCACTTCCTAAAGGGCATCGTGGAGATTTTTCCACACATATGCAGAGAGAAACACTTTTTTTTTTTTAAATAAACATCAGCCCTAATCACTGAGACAGAAATCTGAGTGAGAGCAGAAAATATTTTCTGGAGCTTTTAATGGTTCCTCAGGGGCTTCCCCCTCTGACTTAGATTAGATGGGATTTAGACAAAGTTGATGCATTGCACCTCTTTTTATTCCTCTTTTATTATTAGGATCACAGACTTAAAAATGTGTACTGTGCGCTACATCACTGACAGAATCACCACATACGTGTTTTGTGTTGGGTTAAAACGAGGAGCGGAGCAGAGCTGGAAACCAGCAGCTGTTTGTGACATTTCTCTGCAGCGAGGCTTTGATCAACTTTTAAGGGAAATCGATTGGAATTGTTGCTCTGCCCCAATTTAGAAGACATCTCATCAAATCGAGCTGCAAAGGGTCTAAAGACTACAAGTGTTCATTTTTGTTCCCCTAGTGCTGCAAATTTAGTAATTGACTCTGATTTTTGGCTTCAGGCAATAACCTAATAAGGCCATCCAAGGTTAATGATAGACCCTTTTTAGACTGGCTGAATGTCTGACACCGATATGTAGTGGTGGTGAAAAACAATTATTACTTACATGAGAGACACTCAGGGCAGAAGCCTCTGACATCTGAGGGAAACGTTGTTATTCTGCGTGTTAGAAGCCGCTGTATTTATTTACAGTTTTGCCCCGTGCGTCAAAACGGCAGCCGTCGGACATTAGACCAGAACACCACAATCTCTCAGACGTCAGAGTCTCAGCTGGGGGGGGGGGGTTGTGTTGCTGCAGCCGTCTCTTCCCAGGAACACCAGCGCCACAAATCTCTGTGATTTAACGTCTTTCACGTCCAAGCAGCTGGAGTCAGCACAAGTGTCATGTGCCATTGCCAATCTGCTATCATGGCGTCCTCTGCAAAACAATTTATCCCTTCCTCTCCCGCTTTATTAGCCATAGATTACGGGTGGTCGTGGACAGTGCGGAGCCTCTGCTATCGAGGTAGCCCTTGTAATTGACTCTGGGGAGGAAGGGCGGATAATCATTTGAGCATAAACCACGCTATCAGTAAATAGCTGTTGAATACAGCTATTGTGTTTCCTCCATTCAGCAGGGTTTTCACTTCATCCTGTTACTGTTACAATGCTGCTTCATCCTCCACCTTTATCTCCACAGCCGTGACATTTTTAACACACAGTCGCATGGTCCCAGAGGATGAATCCTACTGACTTTGATGATGTCATCATTGGGCCAAAAGGTCGCGTTGCCCAGTTCTTTGGTTTGTGACCAAAATCCTGATGGGAGTGTCAGTAAAAACATTAAACCTGCTTGACATCAGCAGGTTGCGACTGTCATTTTTAAAAAATTTAAATTTATTGTTTTTATAAAAATCTTTGTGTAATGTGTAAAACAGTTTTGTCCTTCGATGTTCATTCGCAGCTTCTACGTCAAGTGTGAAAGTTTTAAGTGGAGCACATTTTCTTCCTGTTTTTCAGAACTCTGGATCCTCAGCAGCCTCCACTCCCAGTGCTCCAGTAACCGGCTACAAGCGCATGGTCATCCCAACTCAGCCACCGCTGACGGCCACGAAGAAGTCTACACCCAAACCTCAGGCTCCTGGGGGTGTCTCTTCTATCCCCCCTTCCTCTGTCAGCCCGGTGGCCAAGCCTCAAAGCCACACAGCTCCTCAGCCTGTCCCAGCATCCTACGCTACAGCCTCAACCCCGAGCCAGCCCACCTTCAACGTCCAGGTGAGGTCGGCCCAGCCTGGCCCCCAGCATCAAGCCCCGGCAGGGCACCATTTTGGCCAGCAGCCCATCCGCAGTCCCGCGCAGGTGCAGTACATGCCGGCCCAGCCCAAAGGTCCCGACTTCGCCTACGGACCGCCGCAGCCCGGCTTCTCCCCGATGGCTCAGGGTGCATATCAAGAACAGCACCATCCAGGAGTAGCTCAAGTAGGCGGGCTGAGCTCCAGGAGACCTGACCCTGTCCAAGCATACCAGCCTGTTGGGCCCAAGAAGACCTACATCACAGATGTTCCACCAGGCATGGCTTCCTACACCTCTGGACCTGCTGTCCCACCAAAGGTAAGAACATTCACACATGTGCGAAACAGACTAGGAAAAATAATAAAGCATCTACAGTCCATTCCCTGCACATGTCCCTGCTGTATGCACCCTTCCATCCATTCATCCTTTCCTCCAGTTTCTGGCACTTGTCATGGTCTGATTTGGGGGCAGTAGGCTTAGAAGAGTCGGCCAGGCATCCATTTCCCCAGCCGCTTCGCCCAACTCCTTTCCCGAGAATCCAGAGGCGTTCCCAGGCCAGCTGGGATATTTAATCCCTCCAGTGTGTTCTAGGTTTGCCCTGGAGCTTCCTCCCAGTCAGATATCCCTGGAATACCTCCACAGAGAGGAGTCTGGGAGGAGTCCTGATTGGATGCTCGAACCACCTCAACTGGCTTTTGTCAAAAGCGTAGCTGTTCTACTTTAAACCGCTATGGGACATTTGAACTCCTCTGCCTATCTCAAAGGGTTGACCCAGACACCATGGGAGAAAAAACTAGTTTCCACCATTTGAAGCTGAAATTCTCTCCTTTCAGACACGACCTAAAGCCTGCAACCAGAGCTGAGGGCTGGAACATAGATCCAGTGATAGCTGCAGCTCCTTACTCACACAGTTCTGCATGACTGAATCACGTAAAGTCGTGCTCCATATTATCGTCATGAACACGACCCAACACACTCTCAGTCAGGTCATGTGTTGGGTAACAGTAAGAGGAGGCCTGGAAACCTAGTTTGGTATTGTCAAGTTCTGGTGTTATCAGTTCTTGTTTATCTTTTAAGGAGGGCTGAACAATTAAAGGACATATTATCAAAATCACAATGTGGCCAAGTTCAATATCCAAATCGCAAGAACTGCAGTTTTTTTTCTTTTGTTGATAAAGGTCAAATCAACAGACGATAAGTGAAGCGTTGTGATGTCACACAGACGCCCCGGCCGACAAATCATATTCTCCAGATGTAAAGGAACAAGTTTGTTTGGTACAAGACCAACAAAAATCACGTCATCATCATCATTTTTATATTTTTTTCAATGAAAATGCAGAAAATTAATTATCCGTGATCCTTATCTACATATGATATTTTTTTTTTTGCATATCGTTCAGCCCTAAACTTCAGTATCTTTTCACTCATTTCCTCTTCATGTATGTATGTGTGGGTCTACAAGAGCACAAGATTGTGTGTGCATCTACTCTTATATACGTGTGTGTGTGTGTGTGTGTGTGTGTACAAAGTATGCATACATTTGTGCAGCATCCGATGTCAATGCAGTTGGGAGCTCCTTGCCATCTTTCATTGAAATGCTCAGAATAAACAGTTGTTTTAACCTTTATGAATTTTTGAGAGGTATTCTCTGCTGGGGGTTTACACCATCTGATTTCATTTGTCTCATAAAAAGCCGATTGTATTCAGAAGTATACTGTATATCTACCCGCCGTCACTGTAGGAACCCAAGCTTATAGCTTTGTGATAATATATATTTTTTGTTTATCTCATGAAATATAAACTTCAAACATTAGTATCTCACCTTTCTGAGGGTTACTACCAACAGTAGTATCTTCAAAATCTTACTTTCAGGGCCAAGGAGCTCAAAAAATATTTATCTACAGTATTTTATGGGGTTACAGCTTATATATAAAAAAAATAAATAAATAAACAGTTAACGACGAACAAAACCAATGGTATCATTTCCCAGCTGTGCAGAAGCTGGTCCAGCACTATCAGAGTTAACATTAGCACCCAATGTTACCGATCAATGCTCTTACATTTGCCAAACTCATCAGTTCATTCTTGTCCTGAAGGTCTTTTCTAAAGTGTGTAAGCAAAGAAGTCAAACATCATTGCATTGGAACAAAACCACAGTCTTATAATAAAATACAATTAACTAGATCTACGCTGCACGACAAGGGGAAATGCTTGTGTGGAACATGTAGCTTCAGTGTTGTAGCATAACACATGTATGTGGTCGTCAGGTACATACCTTTTACAAGAGTTTCTTTTTAAAATAGGTCAACTGGAAACATTAAAAAGTTAGCCGGTTTTCATCCAACTCACGGAGCTAACGTTAGCTTAATTAGCTAGCTGATCAGCTGAATCTAGCAACATCTGCCATCAGTTTCCTGACAAAGTTGATGTTTGTCAAGCAGAAAGAAGAAGCTTGCATCTGAAATCAAGGTGGAAATCAATATTGTGTCAAAAATTACAAAGAAAATTTTCAGATTTAACTGTCCGACCATCCACTCTTCAACAGTGTAGCCGTTTAAAACACACAAAGAAAATAAAATACTATTCAACACAATCACATACTGTATATCCATAGTAGTTAAAAAGCACTTCATTAAATCTTGGAATAAGCAGAGGAAAACCGTCACGTGCCCAATCCCAAGCCTTCAAAAGCAATGCAAGGTTGGATGCGGCGCTAGACCTTTTTATAGAACTGTATGTGATTGAAAAGAATTACAAAATACTGTCATCCCTTAGAACAGAGTAGTCAAAGCCACAGAGACATCTATTCTCATCTCTATATCCAGCCGTCGACAATCTCTGGAAAGTGCAAGGCCCTCGAGTTTTCTTTAATTCAAGGATTTTATGCTGGTTCCAAATACAAACTGGGCCTCTCAGCCTCTGGGAATAGCTCATCAAGGACTGTACTTTACTAAATACAAATTAGCTTCAACATTGCAGCTAGTATCTTAAAAATAAGTCTAATTATATTTGTTCAAAACAAAAGTCTACATTTTGCTTGAAAAGCTCGCTTTGGTCCCAGTATGATGAATTATTAAAAAAAACAAAAGGTGGCGTTTAATAGATTTGCGAGCAACTCTTTGATTTCAGATAAAAGCAAATCACTAATTTTACAGATATAGCTCATACATGTAAATAAATATATATGTAGGATAATGGGCTCTGTGCCCCCCCACCCCCCATATTTCATTTGAAAGCTTTGAGAAACATATCAGGAAACTTAATGCTCCATTTGCACACATTCATCTAAATTGTATACCGTAAATGATTCTGTGGTGTCACGCATCATGTTTGACCCGACCGTCCCCTAAAATATTTGTATCCAAACCTTAGCTCTAATCTGTTTTTTTTTTTTGTCTATTTGTGTCCAGTTTTTCTTTAATGCCAAAACAGACCAGAGGCACTATAAAAGCCAGATTAGAATTAAAGCAAAATCTGTCAACTTTGCCTTTGTGATCATCACTCTGCTTGACCCGATGTCGTGACATGTTCGTAACCTTTTACAAATGGTGTTAAATCTGCTTAAAAGAAAAAGGGGTTGTGCCTCTTTTAATCTGTTGTGTAAATAAACCAAAACACAGTCAATTAAAGGAACTATTTACATATTTGTCATAATTATCAAAAATGATCTCCAGTCACTTAGAGTTAATGTTGATTTTATGTAACACCCGAGACTTTCTCAGTAGGGGGTCTTTGATTTTGATTGAGGACTTTATTAAAGAGATCATTTCACATAATTGAGTGTATTCATAGAAGGTCAGTGTCATTAGAAGTCCAAGATGAAGTCGTTGTATGAAATTCTATGATCTCGACTTGTTCTAGCTCGCCTGCTCTGCCCCCCACCTCGCCCTGTATCACCCTCTGCCACCCAGCACCCCAATCCCCTAACGTGTTCTTACTCACACGTAAAGTGGAGGTGTAAGAACATCAACAGGCTCCAAGGACGCTTAATTACCCAAATCCACCAGTGTTTGATCTCTATTGTAGTCCAAAAAATTAACAGATTTCATGGCTGCCGGTTAACATACCAATTTCCACGAGTCTCTCCGTCTTTCCCGAAATTGGAGGAAAGCTAAGCTGGATGATGACTTGTGTTATGGCTGAGCTTGAGTGACGTTTGGCAGCGGAGGATTATTTTGAACTGCTCAATCCCTGCAGCCAGTTAAAGCCCCTCGAAGGTCAATGATGGTTTCAACTGTCAAACATGTTTAAATATCTGACATTTTCTCTGCCTTCCAGTCCTGGCCACTGCGCCTTTTGACCTGCACAAGAACATTGGCATATGGTGCCATCAGGATGTGTCCAAAAGACCCTTTTTATATGTGTGACCTGCCATAAACCCTTATTAATCTCCAAAATCCTATTTAAGAAAGAATACAGCAAGCAACACCTGTGGAAATCCATCAAAGGCATAAGCAATTCACTGCCCATGTAACCATTACTTATACAAATTATCTTTGACAGGGCATAAACACATTATTCTGGTATTTAAAGATAAAGTCCCGATTTTTATGTAATCTGTTTTAGCTCAAATGTGCGTGTTATGTGTGAAATGGATCATAAAACAAAATGACTTTGTGCTTTACAATAAAAGAAGTAATAGTCCAAAATCTAAATTTGTAAAATCAAATTTATGGAAATGATAAAGTGCTCTTGACTCGACTTAAGTTAACTGAGCACCAAAAAGCAACTGGGAGTCAAAACTTACCCTGAGACTAGACGAGACATACTGGGACCAGGAGAGGTATTTATCAGGGTCTCAGATTTGATTCATCATTTGTCATTCTAGTGGAGTACTTTTTTTAGACATCTTATTCTTAATATCAACAAGCCGAGACATAATTAAAGACCTAAGTAGTTAAGGTTAGATTCATTTCGGGCATACAGCTTCATATCATTCCCATATCAGTGGACGTCAATATAACTGTACATCAGTGAAAGATATGTCCCAGAGGTTGCATGTAATAGGGAAGGAAAAGGGGCCTAGGATACGACCCTGAGGCACTAAAAAAACAAAAAACAAAGGATTTGACATTGACAGATATTTTTGGGTCTACTACCTGGAAGCTCACCCACTGATGATAGCCCCAGATGGTTTTTTGCTCTGCACTACGCCCATCTAAATATTATTTAGTTGAGCTGTTCCCTCATGTGGACGGGTGGCACTTCTATTTATGCCTTGAAAGACAATCAGGTGTGAACTCCCCCTGTGTTTACATCATACATGATGTCTTCTCCTTAGGTGACTGACCCTAGCTGCCCCAAACTCAAGAACTATG